CCCCAGCCAGCAGCAGCCCCATGCTGCCCCCACTGCCACCCCTGAGGTAGCAGCACAGACGATGCCAGGTAGTATGCTGGGTGGGTGTTGAGGGGTGGTGGCATTTTTGGGGGTGGTTTCCCAGGCATGTCTGGATGAGGGGGTGGCCAGGGAGGAGGTGCTGCATTGCACAAGGATGCCCTGGTCCTGCCACCTTGTAAGTCATTGGATACAGAAACCACCACATCTACACTTAGAAGAGGATTTGGAAGATCTCAACTGAGCACGAACCAGGAGTGCCCCTCCTGAGAAAGTGTTACTGCTGCTATGAGGAAAGTGCTCGTTTAGGACAGGTTTATAGGTCTTTTTATAGCTGAGGCAATGGAATACAAGCCTAGGCAGAACTTTTCCGTGTAGATGTGTGCTGTCTTGAAGCGTGATTTACTTTTCAAAAGATAAATTAAAAATTGAAAGCCTTTCAGATTGCTTTTGCCAGAACCTCAGAAGCCAAACAAGGTCAATAGTTGTTACTGCTTAGAATTAAACCTTACAAGAATGGACGCAGTGCCACATTCTCACGTTTATATAGTTTTCAGAGCAGGGTTGGTCCATGGCTGGTGTCTCACTGTGAGGACAAAGTGGGATTGCACCTGGATTTACACCCACTGTGTAAATCAGCCCTCAAAAACTTCCAGCCCTTCTTGCATAGACAGCAATGTTATCTCAGTGTGCTGTCCAGATTCCAGTACAGTCAATTATGATCTCAATACTTAAATTTCTTGTGTCGGCCTTAAAAAGTATTGTGCAGTTCCTCTCCTCAGCCTGGTATAGCATTGCTGTAATACACTGTTATTTGAACTCAGAGGTAGCTGCATTTTTAACTAGGGTAAAATGATTGACATACAGCTAAAACTTGATGCTCATGTCAGTAAAGTTTCTGATTTCCATGGAGCCTGCTCCTTTGGGAAAGAAGTGCTGGCATTAATAAATCTTCAAGTTACAGAAAAGTGGGCAATGTTGGCAAGTGAATTTATTACAGATGCATAGTTGAAAGCGAGCAGGGAATTCTGTCTTGTTCCCTATGAAGTGTTTCTTAATTTTAAAATAACATGTGAAGCCTTGCTCCCCGTCTCATTAGGACTGGTCATATGTTCATGAGGTGTTTGTAGGAATACCTAAGGCCTTAAATGATAAGTTATGATTAAAGGATGTGATCCAACCAGCAAGAAATATTGCTTTGAGTTTTAGTGTAAGTCACGTATCCTTGCATTTGTGTCAGACCCAGTTGATGATAGTTTACATGCATGGTAATCTCATAGGTCATGAAAGTTTGAGTGAGATTCTCCATGAAATCCATGGTAATAAATGTTAGCTTAGGCCAGTTTAAGCCACATTATACTTTTGGACTAGTTTATCTTTCAAACATTTTTGTCTTCTCTTTTACTCTCTTTATTTAAACTGAATGTGTAAGCAGGGACTCTAAAAAGGTGTTTTTGTGTCTTAAAAATGAAGTGGCATTCCAATGAAGATTCAGTGAGGTTAGACACTGATTTCTGTTTGGTTCAGATCTCCATCTAAGCATTGAGGGATATACTGATTTTGGGGGAGCAAAATTCAGTGTAATAAGTGAATATTCATCTGTGAATTTTCAACTTGTCCTTTACCACTTTATTAGCAAAGCCTTCAAGAATCTATGTAGGTACTATTTAGTCCTTTTTTTTCTTGCGGAAAAAATGAGAGAACCCACATCTGATCAGAAAGAGATTTTTGCAATGGTGGATAGCAGGGAATTTTTGCAATTTCTACTTCCCAAACAGCCTGCTTTTTCTTTTCCTTTTGGTAGTACTTGGTCTGTTTTTTATGTCCAAGACCCACCAAGGGCAAGGTGAAGGTAAAAGGTGAGTAAGAAACATGATGCTTTTGGTTGCAGTACATGCAGCCTAGAGAAATTAGTGACATTTGGCTGTCTGAAACCATGAATGGAAAAGATCTGGTGTTATTGCAGAATAATACGGGAGGAAGGCTATGACTCAGAGAAGGACAGAGGTTATTGTGTAAGAAAGCAAGTTTTGATTCTTCGTAAGCAGATTTGCTGAAGTATTTATGAAGAATACTCACTTTCCACCTGAAGGCTGAGGATGAAGATGTGCTTTGGATTAACAAGACAACTGTAGTCCAACACTGTAAATACAGGAGCAAAGAAGTCCATGAGAATACATTAAAAAGATGTAAAATACTTATGTACAAAATGTGCAGAGTGCAAAGAGTAGTGAGTAGAGATGCAAAATAAAATTATCTGTAAATGAAGTGACTAGTGTTGTTACTTCTGTCAGAGATGTAGCAAATCATGTTCTGTGGATACCATCACAATGCCACCATGCATATCCATAGTTGAACTTGCCAGGCTGCTGGGTGATATTTTACATGTACAGGCATATGGATTGGGAGCTGTTAGATAAGCATCAAAATGTTACAATACTTAGAGGAGAAAGAAGTCCCCCACACCTCATGAACTGCCAGTTTTGACTAGGTTTAGCTTAAACTCATAAATCACTGTTTACACTGCAAGGAAAAAAATGTGGCAGGTAGCACATTCCAAAGAAGCACAAAAAAAGAAAAAATAGTGCCTTTTTAGAGGTATATAAAGTATCAGCCATACATACAGAACAGCCAGATTAATCTCTGCTGTAATTCTTCCAAGTCCAGTGAAACTGTACCAAGAGTGAATGTAACACAAGGCAAATAATCATGTCAAAAGAAAGTTACAAACCCTTATTTAAACTCTTCCAAGAACATTCAAATAATTGCTGATTGCTCTCTGTATTTGTAATTTACATACAAAGATTGATGACTTTTGACTAAAGTGACTGCTGAAGCCTGGCTCCAGGGACATGTGCTGCTGAATGTGGCTAAGCAAGCAATTAAACACATGTAGGGGTGAGACAGTCTCTTCCTCTTTGTGTTGGACTAAAGAGTTCAGAGTCCACTGCTGGCTCTTCAGGTCCCATAATTGATATCTATTCTTGCTCTAGCAGCTGAACTAGAAATAGTAAGTGCTGACATACATAATTACAAAAAGCATAGTACTTTTTTTTTTGTACGTTGCAAGGGCCTGGCTTATTTAGAATAAAAATAGATCATTATAGTTTTAATAATCAGAAAAAGGAAGGTAGTGAGTTGATTAACCACCTCCTGTACTGCTACTGTCTTCTGATCTTGCAGTACAGATTTGCCAGCCCATTCCCACCCTTAATTATCTGTGTCCAAATGCTGTTAAATTACAAACACATGTTTTGGGGGCTTTATTCTAGAAGTTCTGCTAATGAGGCTGATAATACTTATCTTTATAATATCGTGAGGGAGTTCTTTTTAAAAGCAGGACAGTATCATAAAAAGGACTAATTCAGCCTTGGCAAAGTAGCCATCTGTTTGCTTTTATCATGTGGGTACACAGCATGATGATAAAAAAAAAAGAAACCATAGTACTAATAATTCTAATAGAAGACTGTTTTCTGAAGCTGTTCCTACAAGAAGCATTTATCGAGACATTAATTCTTGCAGGAGAACACGCAAATGAAGACTCATCAAGTATTACAATGTCTTTAGATTTTCACTGTCCTTAAGACATATATTTATTCACCATTTCAGGATTCCACATCTATTTTCTTTAGTGAAAATTCCTTCCAGATACAGAAGGCTCATGCTTACCTCTTTGCAACCTTGAAGACCAGAGGTGGACTTGTCATGTAGAGGGTGGTCTTGTTGCTTTCCTAAATATTAAGTATTCATCAAAGCAGCTGTGCACACAAGAGAATAGGCTGCTGCTTTTTTTCACGTCAGGGCTTGTTTCCTCTGTTTACCATGGACCTCCTCCAAGTGGAACTACCTGCAGCACGCAAATATATCTCCTGGCAGCAGCATTATTGAATATATATTTACATAAACTTTGGAGGAAACTGTTGATAAGTATTCATGCCGAAAGTAAGTTGCTGTGGAAGATGTTTGGGGATGGGCTTTGAGTTATATTCCTGCAATAAAAGCTGCAAAGACCTGTTGATCCTCTGTAACAGGTGAGGAATGGTAGTTTCCATGCAGCCTCTGGAAACTTCTTGTCTGTAACTAGGAGGGAATTGAATCCATACCCTCAGAAAGATCTGTTGCACCCAGGCTCTGGCAGTTTTTAAGGATTAAGTCTGCAAAGTGTGCCAAGTTCAGCTGCCAAACAGTCGGGAATATTCTCGGGGGTTCTGAATAGAGGAATTGCATCACTGAGAATTACTGACATTTAAATATATTTTTAGTTCAAAGTACCATAGCAAAACAGTATTAAGTAAGATAGTGTATCATATTGGAAGGGAAACTTCTCACTTCAGTGAATGCTTGTGTGTTGGAGCATCACTGCTGGTTTCAGACTTAGAAATGTATCCTCTATTACACCAACATGAAAGGCAGAGAAGCAAAAAG